ACTTTATGTTTGATATCTCCATTAATAATCTCTATCCATGTCACTGTTGTTTAAAAAATTGATATTATTGCAATATCAATTTTTGTTTTTGTGGCTGAAAGTTAAAATTTTCTAGTTAGTACTTGTTAAGTACTAATTCCCTTACTAATTTCCTTGGAAATTTTATCACTACCTTAATAGTTGGAACTTATATAAGTGGGCATTGGAATGAACTTTTTGAAAATTATTGTCGTAATTTTGTGCTAGAAATATATACTTGTCTTCAGTATTGTATATTGATTTTTTGTAGTTTTATATTCTAGAATTCAAATTAACATGGTTTCTTATATTGTAGTCACCAGAACAACTAAATGCAAAAAGTGGTGTTTGAATTTGAGTTTGAACTTCCAATTGAAGAAGACTGGAAGGCAAAATCAGTAAACTACGACTGTTGTAAAAATAAGGGAATTTTTTGTTTGATATAGCATAACATGGTTCCATTGTGAAGTGATTACAATATATTTTTGTATAAACCAGAAAGACCTTTGTAGCTATATGGACTCTTCATTTGAGTGATTGGAAATCGAAAATAAGAGTGGTGGCCATCGTAAGGTGCGGCATCCAGTGGGTGTGGATTGTGGGGACTTGGAAGCTTATCCAGAAGGGTTGGGATGAGTTCTCCAAACGTATTCGGTTCAGAGTTAGGAGTGGGAGACACGTCAGGTTTTGGGAGGATCATTGGTGTGGGGATTTTGTTCTGGCTCAAAGGTTTTCCTGGCTGTTTAGAATCTCAATGGGGGGCTGACTGTTATTGGCTTGATAATGGGCAGTTGACTTGGTATGTGTTGTGTTGTTGAGAGGTTCACGAAACTGCTGAGGTTTTTGATATCTTTGCACTGCTTCATAGCCAGGTGGTGGAGGGTGAGGGTATGGACGAGGTGGTGTTTGTGGGCCAACCTAGAGGGGTTTTTGAGGTTAGGTCCTTCTACTGAGCCCGACGGTGATCCAAGGCCACTCTTCACTTCACTTGGAAGGCTATTAGGATGACGAAAGCCTCCTTGACAAAGGAATCAGTGAACCACCTTCTCCTTCATTGTCCAGTGGCAAGGGATGCGTGGTCTTTGTTCTTGGTTGCTTTTGGCATGGCTTGGGTGTTTCCTGCGTCCACGGTTGATCCTTTGATGGTGGGTTTGTGGCGTGAGAGAAATAGGAGATCCTTTGATGGAGAGGAGTCCCCTAATTTGTCTCTCAAATATTCTTGCTACTCTATTTTTTTGGGTCGCTGGGGCAAATTGTAAATCATTTGGGACATCTTCTGGGTTTTGTGGATGGCTTGAAATTATAGTGCTGTTTTAGGCTTCTTTGTATTCCTTTGGGAGCACTCCCCTCTTGAGCGCTTTTAATGTAATCTTACTTATTAAAAAAAAAAGGTTCCTTTTTCTAAGCTTGAAAGTTTGGTTTTAGAAAGAGAGTTTTTTCTTTTACAATAATTAATGTTATTCAGGAGATTCTCTTTGGAACTGATACTTGAATAACAAGTTGAAGCAATTATGATTCTGTAGAGTAGTTTTAATAAATAAAATTATGATTAAACACACATTTGTAAATTTACATATATAAATTTGTATATCTTGTATGTATGGGAAAGATTATTACGTATTCATTGATTGTCTTGGAAGTTTGAACTGAACTTAAAATCCAAATTTATATAAAAAAAATTAGAGCAAGTGTCTATATTGTGTAGTGCCATTTCAGATGACATTGGGCAAGTGTCTATATTGTGTAATGCCATTTGGATGACACTGTGGATGTCATCATCATTATCCTTGCCTTAATCTCATATGAATGGGCTCGGCCACATGAATTCTTTTTTTTTTTTTAACAAATTATCTCTCCTATAGTATTTTAACTTTCTTAGCTTCATATTTAATTTCTTATATTTTTCTAAATCTTCTCGTGGCTTACTTTTTTTACCATTCTTTGAAACTTTTTTCTTTGGTAATGTTTGTTGTATTTCATCGTCCCACCTCTATGTTTCTTTTTTGATAAATTTTGTCCCTTATGGTTTCATAAACTTTCCTTCACCATACTTTGAATATAATTTACCATTTCTAACCACAAGTTATTTTTGTTGTCATTCCAATTCCATTGTTTTTCTTCTATTATTTGTTTTCTAAATGTTGCATTTTTGCTACCTTTCAGTTCTTTTAATCTTATATTTTGATGACCTTTTCTAGCTTTTTAATATTTAACTCCTTTATTTAATAAGTTAATATTAGTAGCTTTTATGAGGCTTTTGCCGGGAATAACCTTTGCATTTAAGGATGGCAAGATAGCCCATCCCATCAAGTAATCTCCCTGTCCCGTTTGAAATGGTTATGGGGGCCGTTTGTTGGTTATGGGCCCGGATGGGTTTTATAGTGAAAACTTGTGTAATAATGCAAAAATACTATTTTACTTTTATACCTTATTTTATATACAAAATTACCCCTAGTGTGTGTATATGCCTTTAGAAACCCTAATCTCTCTTATGTGGTTCAACAACCGTTTCTTGAGACTTGAGAGAGCTTTAACCAGTGCATCTCTGTGTCAGCCTCACTGTCACCGGCCACCATTGTGTCCGTTCGTTAGCTTGACCGTCTCTCTGGTTAGGGCTTTTCTCTGCTTGTTTGTACCATCTCTCTCTCTCTTAGTTTTCAATATCCATTCTGAGTTTCATCAATCATTCTTGTATGCGCCCTCTTTTGGTGAATTAAAGTCACTTTATTGTGTAGGTAATGCCAAATCTGTTACCCATCCATTATTAGATACATCTTGATAAGTAGAATGTCTGGTTGGATGATTACTTAATACCATATATCCAATTATGTTCGATGATTAATTAATAAAACTAATGTTATTATTTGCTTTAGGTTATTTTACTTCATAAAAATAATGTCTGAAGGGCTTATGATATTAAATTTTGGAACAAAATCTATTTGGTTTAAATACTTAAATTTAAGTTTATAAAATCTGATTGGGAAATTTTGTGAAAAAAATTGAGTCGGTATTTAAATGGGGCGGGGACGTGGGGTTGTTTGCTAAACGATTTGGACGGGGATGAGGGCCTCCACCCCGTTGCCATCCCTATTTCTCTTCATCAACGAATAGTGGAAATCTCCTTTTTGTGGACGTAGGTTGAGTTCGATCGGCCGAACCACGTAAAATATTGTGTTTTTGTGTGTTGCATGTTGTTGGTTTGTTTTGTAATTCGATGTCCATGTTTTTGATGTGTTAGCTTTCACTATGCCGAATGAAGGGGATTTAACTCCCAACAGATATGTTACAACAAACGCTGCAACGAATCAAGAACAAAATCTCGACAAAAAAGTAAACACGCCGCACAAAAAGAAAACAGATTTATTTGGTTCAGTGAAGCTTACATCCATGGTTTGATCTAGCAAAAGATTTCACTATGCGAAAATTAGGAGATTACAAGTTTCAGACTCCAAACCCTAGCTTTCACTCACTCTCTTTTGTTCGATTTTCAGTGTTCTCGTTATCCCACTCCAAACTCCAAACGCCTTTATATATCAAGGTATAAGAGAGTACTAAACAAGGTCCATGACCCACAAGAGGAAATGTGATTCAGGTCAAAACTGGGCTGGAACGCGACATGAGCTGGAACAAAATTTAGGCCACAACATCACACGATAAGTCTGGCTCTGAACTCTTTAAATCAAAGGAGTATTGTCAGTTGAAGATTAACGGATGCGGAGAAAATGGCTGCTTGTCCGACGTAGAGGTTAATTGCAGTTTGTACGTGTAACCATCCTTACCCAACCCGACACAATATTGTCCGCTTTTGGCTCCCCGGGATGAGACTTCCTAGGAAATCACCCATCCTGGTACTACTCTTGTATACGCACACTTAAATGTGGAGTTCTTATTTGTTCACGGCCATGCACAGTCCTCTTTGAGTGCCTGCCAAGAGTTGAATCCCCGACCTTGGTGCTTACCCTCAAAGCTTTGTTCCTAGCTATGGGCCACTAGAACATGTTGTGTCATAGAAGGGTGTTGAACCTACATATAACACTTTCACTTTTACCTTCCCTTAGGCGATCTGGGATCATGACACCTGTAACTTGCAAGTGTGGTTACTCTTCCAGTGTCTCGCATTTGTCCATATCACACTCGCCCACAAAGGTCGTTACAATCACCCCCCAATGGGGCCAACGCCCTCGTTGGCCACACTTGCAGCTGGGTTTCGGCTCTAATACCATTTGGAACAGCCCTCACCCTACCCGACACAATATTGTCCGCTTTTGGTTCCCCTGGATCTGACTTCGCAAGAGGTCACCCATTCTGGTACTAATGCATTATGGAGTTCTGATGGGCTCACGACCATCACGGCTTTAAAAGGTGTTGTCTGGTGTCAAAGATGCACAACCGAATACTTATCAAAAAATAAATAGAAAATAGATGCACAGCCGAACCGTGGCCCACATTGGCCCACCCCCCAGACAATATTGTCTTCTTTGAGCGCATATTAAGAGTTGAAAGCCCGACCTTGGTGCCTACCCTCAAGGCTTTGTTCCTAGCTAACCAACCACTGGGCCACTAGAACGCGTTGTGTCATAGAAGGTGTTGAACCAACTCCTTCACCTTCCCCGGGCGATGTAGGATCATAATACCTGTAGCCTGCCAGTGTGGTAGCTCGCTCAGTGTCTCGAACCTACTCACAGAGGTCGTCTATGGGATGTCGAAGGTGTGTATAGAGCTCAAGATGGAATCACAGAGTAATGGATCGTCGGAAGAGATGGAGACTTTGAGTTCGGCCGTGAAGGTCGGGCAATGGACCGCTAGAGAGGGATACAATTTTCGTGACTAAAACAGTCAGAGTTGGTTTACATTCTTTTGATGTAGTTAGAGAAAATCAACCAAGAACATGATAAAACATGTTGAATGCCTCTGGTGGTGACTCACCCAAGTTTCCAATTGAATTGACTTTTTGCCTTTTTAATTTTCATATGCCTTACCAGGAAGCTATTGCTGGCAAATGCAATGTTGTCTGCACTTCAAAGGACAGTAGAAATCTCCAACCCTTGGTCGAGGAACTTCAGATGGCTGACTACATATTCTATCGTACCTTTGATGTTGGTCACTATACAATATCGGATAAGATGGGTGACAAAGTTGCTGGGATGGAAGGTATTATTATTATATTTTTGCATACCGTGTTTTCAACTTCTACTTTGGTTTTTAAACAAGTGTCCTTTGTTTGGATCGTTTAAACTCTTACACGTCTATTGTTTCTCAAATTTTACAGTTAAGTTTATATTTAACAGAAAAGAGTGTGAAAGGGTCAGCAGTGTTCCCAAACTCGAGTCTGATGAGAAAGGGGATAATATGGATACTGTAGCATATAATAAACGACTGCAGCTTTGCAAGAAAAATCTGTCTGAAGACTTTAGAGCAGGTAAAACAGAGGGAAATTCTAATCATTTGGAAGCAAAAGAAGATGAAGTTCTGAAACATTCATCGGTTCGGGAATTTTTGGCGGGAGAAAAGCTCGCTTCTGGTGCTGGTTTGGGTTCCAATGATCTGGCTATCAACAGCGGTGAGGGGTCTAGTGCATTAGATGACAAAACCAAAACAAGGTGCATGGTTGATGATGATAAGGAAGATGTCAAAAAAGTGATTGTCATTCCTGTCAATCAGGTTGCTATCAAAGAGAGTGTACAGTCTTACAAGGACTCTGATACTTTGGACAATAAGCCTTCTAAGAAAGCAAGGGTTAATAGTTCTGTTAAATTATCTGAGGACAAGAATATGAATAGTGATAAGAAGTTAACTATCCATGGGAATGCCGTGAAGTCTTTGGCGCCCACTGTTACTTCTGCTGATAGAAAAGCAAGATCTGGACTTGGTAAGGATACTTTTGGGCTGGGCAAAGAAGTAAAATCTGCAAGGGATTTTGGTGATTTGGAAGATAGGCCGCCTAAGAAAGTGAAGGTTGATATTTCTGCTAAATTATCCACGGACAAAAACAGAAATAATGTTCAAAGTTCGAGCAACAATTTTAAGGGAACTTTGAAGGATAAAGTGTCAACTGTCACTAATTATAAAGAAAAAGCAAAATCTAGAATTGTTAAGGATTTTATTGCGTTCGACAAGGGTCTCCCTGAGAAGCAGCTTGATGAGAGGATATCGAAGCTTTCTAACAGCAAGTTTCTAACGGCATCTGCTAGAGTCTTTCTAGATGAGGAGAAAACTGAAGGCGAGGGATTTGAAGTCAACCGTAGACCAGATGTTGTAAGTTATATCAATTTTTCATTTGAGAACTCATCTTAACAAAGTTTTCCCAAACTATTTGAGTTAGCTACAAGAATCATCATTTCAAGCTATATAGGGTCATAACTTCAGCCAAACCACATGCTATCTGTCACAAGGGTCAATTTTATCACAAACATTTTCACCCTATGATGGCACTTGGGGCCCCCAAGTCTCAGCCAAACACGCGCACACACACACAGTGCACACAAAGTAAAGGCACAATGATTTACAGGACAACAATCCCATCCTTTGATCTTATTCACAATAATGGATGCAAAGGACACCAAATTCGTACTAGGAACTAACGCACTCACTGCATGCATCAACCATTCACTTCCCTACCCCAAACAAGCCCCTAGCCATGTAGTTAAATAGGCATCTCAACAAAACTGTCCACAACTGTCCTGCATGTGTTTGCATCAAGACACAACAGAGTTGGTTGATAAGCCCAACCAAATAGCTACCTGAGCCAATCAATTGCCTACAACCCTCAATGGAAGTTTCCTCCCTCAACTTCCCTTTTGTGTCTGAATAAGGCACATCAATGCAGTTAACATCCCCAACTGCTAGGATTGTTGACCAATGAGCACCAACCTTTTAATCATGTGTAGTTGACATCCCCACCTAGGATATCATCTAATAGGCTTAAGCCAACAACACAACTGCCCTCATGTGTATCTTGGCTAGCCAACAGAAATGCCACATGCCTTTATTGGGGACAAAGTCTTGCAATTGGTCATAACCACCCACATGTGCCCACATTTGATTGGGTCTCACACACTGATGCTCACTAGCTTGGGTCTCATCCACTGATGCTCACTAGCTGTTTCCCAACTAGTCTCTTGTGGGTGCCATGGCCTTTGCCATGCCCAAAAGTTATGCACCCACCAAGGCATGCCTATAACTCCGAATGCCCACGTGTGGTCCTCCTTGCCCACTACCTTGACTAAGCCTAGCCCACACTTTAGTCTTATGGTAGCGTTAAGCCATGCCCACACCTTAGTCCTCAATGCCACCACCCATGTCTGGAGCCACAACCTTGCCTAAGGGCAAGTTAGCACACCCAAGGGCTCATATGTGCATGGTATACCACGCTATGCATGCGGCTTAGGGCATGTGTGCACACAACACGCGCGTCTGGTCTGCCTATGGGTTTCTCGACGCAACATCGAATGCCCTTCCCTTGTGCCACCACCTAAGGGTGGTGTAAAACCATGCCTAAGCATGTTGGCGTGCTCCCAATGCATGCCTCGTTCAAGGCGTGCCAAGGCCTTTCTAAGTGGCATGGGTGCCATGCCCTATATATGCAAAAATAAAATTCACTAGCGATAAGACACCACATATCTGAGGATCATAATGGCAAAATAAATACATTCGGACCTCCAAATTGAATTTTGTCTTCACCAACAGTCTTTTAAGGCCTTAAGAAAGCTCACATAATTTTCCCATAATTTTCCTCAAAGCTTTATTTTTGCCAAAATTACAAAAATGCCCCTGAGCACCCTTATGGCATGTTGAGAGCCCACCTGAGCACCCTTATGGCTGTCAAAGGCTCTACTAACCTCATTTTGGCAAAACACTCCCTTTTTAATGAATGCCAAAATATCATAAGGCATGGCATGCCCCCTAATGCCTATGCTTGTCTTGGACAAATTATCAAGGGACTAACTAACCTCCCTCGCTAAAGAAATTCAACATCCTTGTTGAAGCATCACCAAGTGCCATGAGGACCGTTGCTTGCAACTCAGCATTTTGGTGCGGCAAACCCAAATGTTGTAGGACATTAACCTCAATTATGAAATGCTCCTTCATTTCTTCTACAATCAAACATACTTACTGTCTAACTTGAACAAAAGTTCTGCAACAATCCCTGTTACACTTGAAATCTATCACAAATCCCAACCTTTGAATTGATTCATGACTAATGCTATGTTTGGTTGGAGGGATGGATGAGAGGAGGGATGGATGAGGCTTTTCGTGTTTGGTTGGAGGGAAGGGAAGAGAGGGAGGAAGCAAGGAGGGATGCTTCATCCCTCCTTTCTTCATGTTTTTCTATCCGCCCAATTTTGGGGGGAAGGGAGGAGAGAGAAAATGAATAACTACCAACAATATGCAATTTCTAATTTTAACCTTTTCAAAAAAATTCAAATGGATATTTACTTTTTATTATTTTATACAGTGAGGATATATTGGTAAAAAAATATAAAAAATCTCTTTCCCTTCCTTCTAACCAAACAAAAAAAAGCATCACCCCATTCATCCTTTCAACTATCCATTCCATTCAACCAAACAAAAAATGGAGGAGACACCTTCCGTTCCCTAGGGATTCCTCATCCATCCATCCCTCTATCTCTTCCATCCATTTTTCCATCCGTCCAACCAAACGAAGCATAAGGGCGTGTTTGATATTGCTATTCAACACTTAACACAGAACACGGTAAGCGAATTTTTAATTTTTTTAAAATTAGCGTGTTTGATTACATTTAGGTTACCACTTAAAATATTACGCAATAGCTTAAAATAGGGCAAAATTTTAAGTGATACGGACCTTGGTTAACGCTTATCGCAGAAGACTGTAAATGATTTTAGGTTTTAAAATATCTTGTTAATGACAATGTTACCCTCAAATATTAAATTTTTAGGTTCTCCATCACTTGTTCTACTATTGAAATTAAATGTATTGATATTACTCTTGAAATTAAACGTATTAATGGACTTTCTATTTCCACTTTGCATTTCTATTTCCTTCCGCCGGATTTTTACTTTTAGTTTACTCCAATTTCTCAAATGTTTCATTGTACTTTTCTTCTCAAATAATGTAAATATAAATAATATTCAACAAAATATAAATAAATAAATAAATGAATATATATATATATATATATACTGCGTGGTTTACTTAATTTTATAATCAACAATCATGCAATGAAACTCTCACACCATTGTTGTGATGCAAATATACTATATAAATAAAAATCAAATGATTTGTGCTTGAATTCTAATCTCCTTCTCATAAATATTTCATTTTCATAAGTTATTCATTTTATATGTTGATTTTTAAATTTTTTATGATAAGTTTTGACATTAATATCCGTTGTTAAATTGATATATTTCTTTGGTGAAATTCATTATTATATATATATATGTTTATGTTTTAATATAGTATCTTTTATAATAATATTATGTGTATAAGATATTCAAGGCAAAAATGTAATATATACAACATTCAGATTTCAGCTTTTGCATTCAGCAAACAATCTTAATGAATTCAGCGCTTAAAATTAATACATATCAAACAAGTTTACATATTAATATATTCAACACTTAAAATTTCAGCGCTTAAAATTCAGTATTTGAAATTTTCAGTGCTTAATTTTTAGTTTTATCAAACAGCACCTAAGTACACGCCCTTGGATTATGTTCTAACAGCTAACCACCCAAACAAAATAACAAAGAGGGAATTTACATCACCAACCTTTGGTAATGGACTGTAAGCATCTGTGCATAGCCTTCCTCACAGCCACACGCTTACCTGCATGCATTAGCATCAGTTCCTCAAATACAGGCCCCCAGCCTAACTTCCATCCACCATGACAAGCGGATTGACTCGAACAGAACTCTTATCCGAGTCTGAACCTTTCCCTTGAGGCTCTTCAGCAACCATGGTATTGAGTTTCTCCCTCTTAGGATAGTCCCTTGTCGTGTGGTCCCTTGCAAATGAAGCTGATGCAGGACAAGTGGTAACTTATAGTAACTAGAAAGAAAGAAGGGGATGAGAATGAGAAGATAAGATGAGGCTAGACGAAGGACGTGAGAAGATAGAAGAATAGGGATGAGAATCAGATAGAAGGAGGTAGGATAGATAGACGGAGGGATTAAGAACAAGAAGAACAAGAGGGAGAAGAGACCTAAAGGGAGTTCACAAACTCAACGATAATATTCAATTTCTCAAAACTGAGTTCTCTAATTACAAAGGAGCCTTTAAATAGGCAAATTATTAAGCAAACCCTAAATCATAAAATTTTAACATTATCAAAATAACAATAAGCATAAATAAAACCCTAAATCACTAAAATTCCCAATTTTATTTCTCTTTCCCTCTTCTCCAAAAGTAATGTTGAAGCATGTGCAACTCATGTATTCGAATCATACCCCATTCCCCCATCAATTCTCCTTGGCTGAGAAGAACTCTTCTCCGAAGAGTAAAACGGCTCTAAATATCTCGGATCAAAGTGGTAGGACTCATTTGAAGTTAGATAATACATCAATTGTGAATCATTCTGACAATTAATAATATCCTTAATCCAATTCAAATGCTGACATGATGGGAGGACAAGTGTTGCTGTTGAAGAAAATGTAATTCCACCTATAAAAGCACAAGCTAAAAACACAAGAGGCTCAAAGATACCTCGGTTAGGCATCAAATACTCCATATGAAAAATTGGACTAATACTATTATCTGTTGACAAGTCAAATAAACATGCATTAGGTCCAAACTTATTGGTGATGTGGAAATGTTGAATACGTTGGGCTTCTAATGAATTGAAGGAGTTATAGGGATAATGTGGTTGTGGTAAACAAATTATAAGATAATCTCCTTCCAAGAATTTATGATTCCTATGATGAGCATATGCAAAAAAATTATAATTTTTATTACTCAAAATAATTTGTTGTCATATATCAGCATGAAGCTCATGGACATACTTGACAAAGGAATCAGAGATTTTAAATGAACAAGTATGTGGAGGCATAGGTGTTAGGTCAATGGGCTGACGAGGCAGAAAATCATATAGAAGACCAATTAACTAAACCATGATATACATACTCCATATTATGCAACAAGGAGTTTCCAATATGTACCTGTGCTCCCATAAGACATTGAATCAACTTTCCCATATTTCACACAACAATTTCAAATTTTCTTTCATTTTGAGGACAAAATGCGAAGGAAAATTTCAAATTGGTGCCCAAAAAAATCC